ACTTGCCTTGTAGCAGCACAAGTGTTGTGTTTTAAATAAATCTCCAATGTTAAAATTCAGAAAAGAAGCTGTAATGCCACCACTTTCATTAAAGCACAAAAGTGACAGACTTGATTGAACACAAAAACACATGACATGATCCAAAGAATGGATTGAAGTTTTGTTCAGTGATGAAAAACAATTCAACTTAGATGATCCAGACAGTTGGAAGTATTATTGGCACAATTTAAGAACCGAAAAACAAATATTTTCAAAATGCCAAATGGGTGGGGGATCAATAATGATGTGGGGTGTGTTTGGATTCAATGGAACCACAGATTTAGCATTTATAACTCAAAGAATGAATTCAGAGAAGTATCAACTATCAAGGCATGCTTTAAGATCATTTATTAGAAGCTAGACCAAATTGAATCTTTCAATAAGACAATGCCCCTGTGCATGCCTCTAAATCAACAAAAATGTGGTTTAAATGTAAAAATATTAATCTGATGACATGGCCTGCTAGAAGCCCTGACCTGAATCCGATGGAAAATTTTTGGGGATGATGGTTCTTACAGTTTATTCCAATGGAAAGCAGTTTTCCACAATTCATGATTTGAAGGCAACAATTTCAGATGCTTGGGATAAACTTAAGATTGAATTCTTGAACAGGTATACAAAATAAAATAAAAATTGAACAGGTATACGAAATAAAATTAAGACTGAATTCTTGATTAAAATTAAGATTGAATTCTTGAACAAGTATACGAAATAAAATAAAAATTGAACAGGTATACGAAATAAAATAAAAATTGTTTTCTGTTAATCTTTGTAATATTATCTGTAAAACCAGTATAATAAGTCCTGATAATAGATGAAAGTCGAATTTATAGTCGAAAAATTTACATATTAATTAAGATTGAATTCCTTCAGAATATAATTGAAACAATGCCTAATCGAGTATTTAATGTAATTAACTAAATTATTACAAAAGTTGCTTCTAGCCCTTGATATAATAATATCAATAAAAATATCCACAACTGTGAGGCAGATAATAGTGAGGGCTTATCAGACCAAATGATGGGCACAAACGCTCAGAGATCAAAGTGAAAAAAATTTAATAAACACAAATGGTTACTACATAAATATGAAAACCCAAAATGCATTTCGGACTGTTTTCTGACAGAAAAGTCCCTCATCAGTTGGTGTTAGTTAAAGGTAATACCATAATAGAATTAAACAAAGTAACGGTCAACTTAAAACTAAGCTTAAAGTTATACAATATATAAGTTGAGGACACCACTGTAATGGTGTGAGTAGTAAGCATCATCAGTAAGTATTATCTAAAGTAGGTGGTATATTAAAAATTATACAAAGTAAGGTGAACATAAAGGCTATGCCTAAGACTATACAATATAAAGATGAAGATGCCAATATAACAGTATATATACCAAATATAACAGTATGAGCAGTAGGCAATATCAGTGCAGACAGGTGTAATAAATCTTCATGACCTTGCATGGTAGGATGACATACAGGGTGCTGATACAAACAGTTATAAATTAGACAATAATTAATTAATGCTAAAAGACTAAAGTTATACAAGCAGGTAATGTACATACCAAAAAGTAAGACGACAGAGTAGCAGGTGCCAGTTTACAACAAGGTGCTGGGAGTGGAAGTGAGGGAGGTGTGTGTCAGTCCACATCTGGTGTACAAATGGTGACATGTGATACAATTACAGGTTCTAATGGTTTAACCAGTACATGTGGACATTACATCACAAAGATAATTTAGTTATTAAAAGATATAATTATACCATCCTTCGAAGGATGGTATAATTCTATTATGGTATTACCTTTAACTAACACCAACTGATGAGGGACTATTTTCTGTCAGAAAACAGTCCGAAATGCATTTTGGGTTTTCATATTTATGTAGTAACCATTTGTGTTTATTAAATTTTTTTCACTTTGATCTCTGAGCGTTTGTGCCCATCATTTGGTCTGATAAGCCCTCACTATTATCTGCCTCACGGTTGTGGATATTTTTATTGATATTAATGTAATTAAGTTAAATGGTGGTTACATTGGCCATTAATTAAATTGTAAGAAAACTTTGCAATTTGAAACCTGTCCAGATAAATATGTAACAGTTTTTTGTACAAAATTTTCAAAAATATTATTTTCAGTGACAAAATGTTAATGTTTGATTAAAATTCTTATTTTGCAGTGTGAAAACATGTAAATCCATGTTATTTTTAATAAAACATTTGTCACTTAATGCAGCAAATTTGGGTTTTACTTTAATTTTTTCGTGTCCATATAAATTTGAAACGCACCTTATATGTATATATAGTATCAGGATTTGCGGTAGAGACTCCCCGCCAAGTAAAAAAGTCACTAACTAGACTATATATATATAGGAATCAAGTTGCCGATTTTCGGGGGTCAATTTCTCCACCCCCAACATTTGCAGTTATTCTGAATATCTCCTTCAAAAGATAATTATTTTCTTAAGTAGTGTGCAAAATTTTAAGATTTTCTATAAAGCTGTTGTCGAAATATAAGCAATTAAAAAGTGCAAAAATCGCCAAAAACGGACTGTATTTTTTTCGTTTTCTTCATCCGGCACTGTAGACACTCGTATGAAAAATACTACTGGGTCTAAAAAGCTCAAATTTTAAGCTTAAGACTTTCTCACACGTGGCAGTGGTATCCACAAGATTTTTTCTTGTTATTCTTTTCTACAGTTTGCTTCAAAACAAAGTTTATCTTTACCAAAGAAAATTTTTGATTGTTGTTATAAGTTTTACTTGGTGCAATTTTTTTACATCTCAGATGTTTTTGTTTGAATATTCAATATCAAAAAGTCATAATTAAAAATAGCAAGATCTTCTTTTACATGGGCATTTCTTTTTACAGATAATAAATATTAATAGTAATGTTAACCCACTGCCAGTGCTACTTAAGTCAACAAACCCTGTTTTACAGCTTCTGACATTGAGCATTACTGAATGCTGCGATATATATCCTGGCTTGCATGTATTTTTCTCTAGTAGTGTTCTTAAAATTTTGTTCTGTATATTTTCAAGTTTCCATTTATATATACTAATGAATATATTTATTATACTATTTAAATGTATTAAAATCTAATTTAAATCCAATTCCAAAAAATTACTAAAAACTATTAGGGAATAGTGCAGTATCAGCTTATTGCAACAGAATGGATGAATTTGACTTGATGAGAATAATGCTTATATTATTATTGTTCAGAATTACTAAGATAAAACTTGTATTCTGGTGGCAACTTGTTCTAATATAAGAGATACTTTGCAATGATTCTATTAGGGTTGTGTGCAACCTGCACAGAAGTGCAGGTTGCACACAACCCTAATAGAATCATGTTAATCAGCTTGATTTTTATAAAAACTTAAAATTAATCAAAGCCAGAACCATTCAAAACATCATACAAAATAAAAACGATTCTATTTGTGTTGCATGCTGTGCACCTGGTGACAACATTCTCACAGATGTTGCTACTGTATGTTAGAATACAGTAGCAACATCTGTGACAACAACTAACATCTCACCTAAGATTTCCAAAACATTTCACAAATAAATCTATAACTTCAATTTATTGATCCTTCATGTGGTTTGGTTGTGCCCTCATCAGATGAATATGTGTTTATACATAAGCATACTGGTATAAATTAACAATATCTTCAAACCTGTTACCAGTGTGTTCTCCCATGACGATGAGAAACAAAAAAAAATATACTGATATATTCATGTAGATCAGTGTTTTTCAACCAGGGTGTCACGACGCCACGATTGGGGTGTCGCAAAGTTTAGGGCCTTTAGTCATTTTCTTGGAAATTTACTTAAGTGTAGTTCAAGATAACTCATTGTTAGTTCTGTTTTGCTATGAAATATCTAGTAAGCAAAGAAACGATAACTAATCGCATGTTAATGTAATGTTCACGCTACGTCTACGCACGACTTGTCACGAGTTCGCCCAAACCACATTACTTGGCCTTCACATTTCCAGTCCCAGTACCGGGCCAACCAGCAGAGAAGAACGACATGGACATTTGTGTCTTGTACTTTAAAAAGCGTTGCATTGCACTTTGAAAAGCCTGCACAATGTAGATGCATATTACAGTACTTTCATAGTATTCAAAAGCAATGATGACAAATAAACAATTTATTATCATTTTTTTAATTTAAATTTTTTAAATTGATATGAAAAAGATAAGAAAAAAGTAATGAAATATTTATTTTATATATACATCAAAATAGTATAAAAAAACTTAAAAATTGTTTATCAATAAAATAATAATATAAAATGATGATATATTTGATAATAAAACTAAATTTAAAAAACAATAGAGAGACTATTATTTTACATATAGTTATTTCGACAAAATTCAATGGACTTAAATTTTGATTTTGAACACATAGAAACGCTGTTTTTTTGCATTAGAATGCTACTTCAAATTGTCAATTTTTAAAAGTTTTTGGAGAGGGACTTCCTCGAAAACTCAAAAACTTCGGGGAGGGACTTCCTCCCCGGACCCCACCCCAGCATTGCGTGTAATATTCGTTTTCGCAAAAAATTTATCTGGCCCTTTAGTCCCCTTATTCAGATCCGCCGCTGGTCAAGGGTGTCACGATTTTTTATTTTTCAATCAGGGGTGCCACGCAATGAAAAAGGTTGAAAAACACTGATGTAGATGAATATACCAGATAGATAATAAAATCTTTATAAAATTTACTATTAACAATTTGATAATCTATCTTGTAGACACAAGAAAATAAGTTTGTCTAATGATGCATGTGATATCTCAACTGCTAAAACTATGACTTATGATACGAAAAAATAATGTTATTTAGAAGTTCTTTCCAACATTGAAGCTGATATTTTAAGAAATAAGTAATGATCTTATTATAAGTAAATCTAATATTTAAAGATCCTTAATTATCTTAAGTAAGAAAATAGTTTGGAAGAATATATCAATTTAATCTGAATTATGTTTTAATTCTGTTAGTTTTTATTTTAAAAATATATATACAGACATTACATTGTTTAAACAACAATCTCATTTCTTACAACTTCGAAATTTTGGTGATCGTTTTGGAAGAGTTGTTTTACTTTCAATATAAGAAGAAGAAAGTGCCTGAATATCTCTCTCACTTTTTCTTGTTTTCCTTGTTGTTGAATCTTTTAATTGATGAAAATCAGATTTTACATTCATTGAATTATCCAAATTTTTCTCATTAAACTTGACTGTAGACTGTTTTTTACAACTCCTATTTTTCTTCTTTTTTCCAGAATTACTCAAAATACCAGTAATTTTTCTATCTTTATCAATCTCTTTCTCATCACTTTTTTCTATTTTCTTCTTTTCTTTATCTGGCATTTCCACTATTACACAATCATCTGTGATATTTAACTGTTTAGATTTCTTACATGTTCTAGGTTTAGGTGATCGTTTGGGTAATGTTTTTGATAAAGGAGTTTTGGAAGCTTCAATATTTGCAGTTGATATTTTTTGATTCTTAATATCTTTATCAATGTCACACATGGCTTTGGTCTCATTTTCTGAAATTTTCTTAACTTTAACAAATTCATCATTTTCAAATTTTTCTTCCAAAAAGAGTGTTGTATGTTTAGTTTCCTCTTTACATAAATTCATATCTTCAGCAAAATCACTGTGAGAATCAGAATTTTTCTTTGTTTTTTGTTTTGGAGTTTTCTTTGAACCCGTCTGATCTTTACTATTTTCCAAACTCTCTTTTGGACTTAATTTTGTATATTTCATTTCATCAAAATTACTTGTATTCATTTCTTCTGTAAAGCTACTAAAAGCAGAATCACAATGTTTTTTCTTCTTCTTCTGGGTTGAAGATTTGTTTGAATCTTTTTTGCCTGAAACTGAGCTATCATTATTTTCTGTATGACTTTTTGGAGTTAATTTTGTATTCTTCATTTCATCAAAATTACTTGTATTCATTTCTTCTGTAAAGCCACTATAAGCAGAATCACAATGCTTTTTCTTCTTCTTCTGGGTTGAAGATTTGTTTGAATCTTTTTCGACTGAAACCGAGCTATCATTATTTTCTGTATGACGTTTTGGAGTTAATTTTGTATATTTTATTTCTTCTCTGAAATCACTAAAATCAGAATCAGAATATTTTTTCTTTTGTGTTGAAAATTTGTTTGAATCTTTTTCAGCTGAAACATAACTATCATTAATTTCTATACTGTTTTCTGAAGTTAATTTTGTAGATTTTATATTCCTCTCTCTTGCCTGTTTGGAAGTTTCCTTCTCAATTTTAACATTTTTAATGATGTCAGGTGTTTTTGTGCATTCTTTTGGAGAAAATTTTGTATTTTTCATTACTTTATCTGTTACTTCATTAACTATCTCATCAGTATCATCTATTTCAATCTCCTTTTCAAATTTTGCTATTTTACTTTCCTTATTTTTTATCTTATTTGTTGACTTTTTCCTTTTTAAAGTATGCTCTTTCTTTGTCAAGGATTCATTTTTGTCAATTTCCATTTCTTTTCCTAATTCTGTTTTAGTAGCTTCAAAAGATTTATCATCATCATCTTGCTGGTTTATTGATGAGCTTTCTTCCATTTTCTCATTTTCATCTTTTCTGTTGTTATTTATCTGAAAGATGATTTTAAAAAGTTTAATATATGAAAAAAATATTTTTACTGTATTTTGAAAAGCTTGTTATACACTTGTTAAGTTCAATTGTAACACATGTCAGCTGTGTGGATGTTATCAAGCGTTGATGGACAGTCTGCAGCTCTGTCACATGTGTCAGGTGGGTTGATGTAACCATATTCCTAAGAATGCGGGGTGAGATTGTCCCACCTAGAGAGGGAGAAATTGTGCACTTCCCTTGTGGTGTGTCAAGTCAGTGCTGACCAGGGAGCTGACCAGTGTGCTTACCAGAGTGTATAGCTGTGTGGCTGGTCAAGAACCAGTGTTGTGATTATAAAATAATTGTCAGGTGCCTGAGTGTTACTCGCTTGTTTGAGAAATTAAAGTTCAATTGTGTTGTTATGTTGTAAAGGAACTGTGTACTATGTTTAGACCATGTAAACAGGAACATTATACATCATCATATTTTACAACAACACTCATATAGATACATGGTATAATTACTATTAGATTGATTTATACACAAATAATTTTCTATATGTAAGAAACAAACTTCTTATACACCAGAGGAAAATATATAATTCCAATAAAAAAAAAAAAACCTTCATAACTCCAGTGATACTTGTTTATACATCAGCGAACGTTTTCGACCCCATCCGGGTCTTCATCAGGCTATGTTTATGAGGAATTTGAATGCGTATGGAACAGAACATTAAAACGGACTTAAAGAGATTCAAAATTTTGAAAAAACGGTTGCCACGGAACCGGGAATCACAGCTGACTTACAAAGTGCCCGTATGATCAGGATCTCTCATCGTACGGATCAATTGAGAGCCATGGAGACTCTTGAAATATATAAAGCAGGATTACGCGGCACGTGCATTAATTCCAGGGATGTAGTCAGGATATCAGGCACGTGGAAGTTTTGTTATGAGGGAAACCACCCCCGTAACTGATTTGTTGAATTTCCTATTTTCAGTTGTGTTCGCCATTTCGCAAATGAATGGTTGCACATGCGCAACGTTCCACGTTTATTCTTAAGTTTGTTTTTCGAAATTTTGAATCACTTTAAGTCCGTTTTAATGTTCTGTTCCATACGCATTCGAATTCCTCATAAACATAGCCTGATGAAGACCCGGATGGGGTCGAAAACGTTCGCTGATGTATAAACAAGTATCACTGGAGTTACAAAGGTTTTTTTTTTTTTTTTTATTGGAATTATATATTTCTATATGTAATTATAATATTTGATGCAATAAATTAAGCAAAAATACTAAAGTCTCCATTTTCTTTGTTTCATTCAGTGTATTCATTCATTAGACATTGTGCCAGTTACTCTGTAATTGATGGTTCAGAAAACTTTATAATATAAATCATTCTGTCAAAAATAATTTTTTTTCTCTTTTTTACTTGTTTTATGCTTAACTGTCTTAATCAACTTTAAATTTCTTACAACAGTCTGTCAAACTCATATACCACCAAATACAGTTTGAGTGTGGGCCACAGAGAAAAAAGTCTTATATATACAGGTATACCTCGACTTACGTCGTTCCCGATTATACGTCGTTTGTCAAAAAAGTATATGGAATAATAAAAATCAAATTTAAGTCATTTTATTTGACTTTACGTCTGTCCGCCACAAATATTGAAGTCGTAATATCGCTAAAAAATGTTTAAAGCGCATAAAATCATATTAAAATATATACATTTACAAGTATGTACTGTATTTACAGTACATGCATTCGTAAATTTAGATTACTTTTTTCTGTACTATATTAAAAACTAAAATTTATTTGTATGTAAGCTTAAAATAAATCCTTGTTAACCATATATTATTAAAAATGCATTAATAAATAAAATACAGAACCGGAAATGGTAATTTACGGTTTAGCCTAGTGACAATTACATTCCGAGACAAGTAAATTCGACTTAAGTCGTTCTCCTGGAACCAATTACTGACGTAAGGCGAGGTATACCTGTATTCAAAACTAACTTATTTAAATTTTACATTTATTTCTCCTTAAGGACATATAAAAATTTAAAAAGTTAATATTTTTGACTAGAAACTTGGTATCTTCTGGCAGAAACAATTTTATCAGTATCTAGTGCAATTTTTTGCAATGTTTTTAATATAGATATTAAATACACATTTGTTTATCTCATTCTATGTGAACTCTTATTAGTCTTTAAAATAGAAACTAATTGTTTACATAGGTATGTACTATCAAACATTGCCAACACTCTTGCAGTAAACATGCATTTTAATAATATGTTCAGACAAGTATAGATAGTCTCAAATACCAACTTCAGTATACGTTTATTTTAGCAGTGTTGCTTTGGATTTCAATCAATTCCTCTTAGATGTTTCTTTTTGCTTCTACAGTGTTAAAAGAAAAAGGAGCACTAAACAGTAAAAAATCATTTTCAAATGCCTTGAATCCTTGAAATCAGTTTTCAAATTCAATTAATAATTTTTAAATATTTGTAGATTTTATTTCCTGAAATTGCAACCTTATAATTCTTTATAATATATATAGACATTGAACACACTTTTCCAGCAATTACTTTTAATTAAAAAGAAATGTTTTTGGCCTAATTGATAATGCTTTATTGAGATTTCTTTTGTTACTTTATTTTTATTCTTAATTGTATTCTAAATAAATACAACCTCACCATAAACTGGAACTGTAATATTCGTAAATCACACCTAAATTCAAAATTTCCAGCAAATAAACTTCAAAAATACACTTCGAACGTTTTCGGCCACTAAATTTATCGGCCTTCTTCAGGAAATACAAACTGGAAAAACCATTCTATAAATAGAACTTAGCTGCCTTTTAAATTTTAAAAGAACAAAAAACGGCTGTGACGTATGGTATATGATGTATATCAGGGGTGTCCAACCCGCGGCCCGCGGGCCGCATGCGGCCCAAAACAAGTTCCAATGCGGCCCAATAATGGTGTAAACAAAACCGACAAATGTTTTAATTAATTAATTAATTTATTTATTTCAACAGCATAAACTCAGAAAAGAAGTTTCACAAAGCCATAAACCTTTATTCATATTTTAGTTTTGAGTGGAAATGAAATACAGTAATACCTCGACTTACGCAAACCCGGAGTTACGCGATTTTCAAATCTCGTCGATTCGTCTTTTGTTTGAAAGCCACGCAACTCTTGCTTACTCACTCCTCTCACACTATTGTTTAGCTTACATGTTTGGACGTGTCGCGCGGAATCGACACATAGTTACAATTTATTTTGTGTTATTTATTTCTGTGTTTGTTATATCTAAGGAGACTTGAGAGACTATATGTGGTGATTTCTTGTAACCGTGAACGAATCAAAAGGCGAGATAAGGTTAACGAGAACATTTATTAGCTTACATACATCAGATTTGGATTTTACACAAATTGTGTAAATATACCCCGACTTACGCGAATTCGACTTACGCGGTTATCGCTCGGTCCCACCTATCGCGTAAGTTCAGGGTATTACTGTATTTTCATGTACTTGGAGATGTGTGAATGAGGAAGGATTACTAAATAAAGCTGGAGTTGTGACTCAAAGGATTATAGACCCAATTTTGGTGAAAGGAGAGAAAGGACAAAAGATAAAAAGTTGTCAGAAAAGTTAAATAGTTCTTCTGTTAGGCAAATATTGAGTCTTAATTTTCCAACCTTTCTCACTTCTTTATCTTTTGTCCTTTCTCTTCTTTTTCCGAATTTGGCTCTATAATCCTTTGAGTCAAAACTCCAGCTTTATGCATTCCTTCTAGCGTTGCAAGATTTGGCTAAATTGAACCAAATGTAGGCCAAATGTGGCTACTTTTTTTAGTTTAACGTAAAAAAAATATCATTTGGCGCTTTGGCTACTTTTGGGGCTACATATCATTTATAAATATATTAGTTGAATAAAAATGCACTTTAAAATGGTGTTTCTTCGCATTTTATTAATCAGAGACTCAAATAAACCAAATATTTGCGTTTTATCAAATAAATGAATTTATCTATTTCTAAGTAAAGATTGAAAGTGTCTGTAGAAGTAATTTTTTAAAATATCCTGTTTCGTGACAAAGTTTTAATACTTATTATTATAATCTAGACATGTTAATCCTTAAATATACTTGTATATTGGGCCAGAAGTATATATAATATATACTTGTGGCCCAAAACTCCTTGACTTCTTCCAATGCGGCCCAGAGAAACAAAAAGGTTGGACACCCCTGATGTATATTATGAGTCAAGATAGCATATACAGATCTCTACAAGCAAGACTAAAAGATCACAAATATGACATGCTAAAAGGTAACATCAATACAGCTTTAGCACGGTATGCCAGCGATCTGGGGATTTCCCCGTTGGGACCAGGCCAAGCTAATACACAAGGTTTTTGACAGGCAGGATATAAAAATTTTGGAAGCAATAGAGATCTACAAGGCGAGCAGGAGTGGAAACTGCATCAACACGGATGTCATTCCTGTATCATCAGCGTGGAAACGCTATCTTGACTCATAATATACGTCATACACCATATGTCACAGCCGTTTTTCGTTCTTTTAAAATTTAAAAAGCAGCTAAGTTCTACTTATAGAACGGTTTTTCCAGTTTGTATTTCCTGAAGAAGGCCTATAAATTTAGTGGCCGAAAACGTTCGAAGTGTATTTTTGATGTTTATTTGCTGGAAATTTTGAATTTAGGTGTGATTTACGAATTGTATTCTATTTTATATTTTGTTTTATTTCTATCATAAATTTTGATAATCAAAAATCACACTAGTATTACATTACATTTTTTTAAAAACTATGTTCCAAAAATAGAATCTCTATTTAAAAACCCAATGGAGGCTTATCAATCAGGCCAAAAACATTTGTTTATTAAAATGCTGGATAAGTGTGTATGTGCAGAGTCTTATGTATATACTGTGGTAGTTCCAGCTTTGAGTATTATGAATTCTTTATAATTTTTACAAGTAGGAAAATTAACTAAATCACAATTTTGCAATTTGTTTTCCAAATTCCAAGTTTTAACTCAAATGCTTTAATGCAGTCCCATAGAAATAGGAAAAGTAGATTTTGGCTCTAAAGTTTTAAATCTCACTTTATTTAAATTCCACATAATATCTGTAATTAAGACCAAATCCTGCAACTAGTTTTTTTTGTTGTTGTTCTGCTGACTCTCATTTCTAAAAACATTTTGATTTCATTGCAAAGTTTCCAAAAGTGTTTTAAAACTTTATGACAGGAGAGCCAACACACTTCTGTATAATAAAGTAAACCTTCATCTTTGAGACAAGAACTTGTCAACTTCTTGAGTAAAAATTCCCAAAAGTAAAAAATTTATATGTGACAATAAAATTTTTTTCACAGACTTGAAAATTAATTTGCAATATATTAAAGATTTATTTTGTATTTTTTGAAATTCTATTTTATTATTTTAAGAAGATACTAATTTTTCCTGCATGCCATTCTTCCACCTAAAACAAATTTGAATGTTTCCACTACTGAAAAGAAGAATGAACCATTCCAACTACTAAAACCTAGCCTGATGGATAAAACCAATTTTGTATCCAGATACTGTACACAAAAAGAAATTTTCAGAGTTTAAAGAGTTAATTAATAACATCAGGTTTTGAGAAGTTTATATGCAAGGTATGCTCATAAATCAATGCGTCAAACAGCTGGTTAGATCGGGGATGCCTCTGTGGGGAGGCGAAAGGATTCATGATTGCCATACAAGATCACGTCATAAATACTAAAAACTACAAAAAACACATACTCAAAGATACAACACTCACAAACGTCACATGCAGAAAATGTCACATTACACCAGAAACTATAAAACACATTACATCTGGGTGCAAGCTCCTGGCACAGACAGATTATTTACACAGACATAATCAAGTAGCAAATGTAATATACCAAGAACTTGCAAACAAACACAAATTATTAGACATCCACGAACCATACTACAAATACATTCCACAGACAGTATTGGAAAACAACACGCACAAACTGTACTACAACAGAGCCATAATCACAGATAAAACAATTTACCACAACAGACCAGACATCACTCTCATTGACAAACACAATAAAATCACATACATTATAGACATAGTCATTCCAAACACTCACAATGTACAAAACACAATCACTGAAAAAATTAGCAAGTACACAGAACTCGCCCAGGAAATAAAGCATCTGTGGAGGATGGATAGGATGCTTATTGTACCTGTCGTTCTCTCCTGTACAGGTGTGATACAACACACACTACACAAAAGCCTAGGAACATTACAATCGAATAGAAATACATACATTACACTACAGAAGGTCACTAGATTGAATACATGCCATATTGTTAGAAAATTCCTGAATACTGACACTGACACACTTATTTTAGTTTTCTTTTGGTTGCTATGCCTTGACTCTGGTCCAGCATAGTACACAGCCACTGGTATCAACCAAGTATAACCCACTAAACCCAACATAATAATAATAATAATAAATCTATATAGTCAAACCTCGATTTTCGAATGACTCACTTTTTGAACAAATCAGTTCTAAAACAGAATTTCAAACTCATAATTGCATTGATTGCTGAAACAACCTACTCAGCAAGAGCTGGCCACAGATTAGAGAGAGATGGTAGAGATGGTCAACTCCCCCTATTTTCTATGTTAAAAAAAGTCAACAGCCCAACCAATCATTGGCAGGAACTGATTCAGAAGTTAGTGGCACCAAGATCTCCTCACACCATTAGACATGACACAAATCATCAATGATGCTGCTATTTAAATTAGATTTCAATGCGCATGTGAGAAAGATACCATAGACTGGGGTTACTTTGTGACATGTAGGCTAACTTTAGGACAATCACTGTTTTGAATGAATTTAAAGTCAATGCCACTGCCATTTCAATAATATACAAACTGTTGTCATTGGTTCTAATGCTCCTATTGTGCTGCCATGTAGTATCAAGGCCCAGAAGCTGTTTGTTTTCCCGCCTTTTAAGCAGCCATTTTTAGTTAGGTTATGCTTTGTTTGATCAACACATGCTCCAAAAACTATTATTCGTTGAGAAAACTCTACAGTTTCTATTGAAAACAAAAAAGTTAAATATTTTGAAATAGATAATCATAATCTATTATAATCAAGTGCTTTATAATATTTTAAAATAATTATTTGGTTATACTTTACTGAAAAATCTTACATATAAGGGGCAACTTTGGGACTGTCCCAAAATTACCCCGAATGTTATTGTTCAGATAAAAAGTCTATTTTTTTTTGTTTTTCTTTTAGGTTTATGATATAATGGGACAGATTTACAAATGTACCCTTGGGATGAGGGCGTATAAAAATTATACAGAGGAGAACCTTGCAGCAGCTGTTGCAGCTATAAACGATAAATCATTGTCGTACTGGAATGCATCACTAAAATTTGGCATTCCTAAAAATACTATATTAATAAAAGTTCAGGGGAAGCACATACACATAAAGTTGGTCGACAAGCTGTATTTATAAATGAGGAAGAAAAAGTTATTTGTAGCACATGCTATTGTTTTGTAAACATTTGGATTTCCTATGACAATGTTTGTTTTGCAATGTGCCATAAAATTGTATTTGGACAGAAGTTGAAGGAAAGAGTCCAGGTTTAATAACTTTCCTGGCATTGATTGGGCTCAATGTTTTATGAAAAGAAATAAAGCTTTGCTGACACAAAGAACATCAAAAAATATAACTTATGCCAGAGCTGCGACTGATGAAGAAATAATAAATTCATTCTTCAATAATTTAGAGAAAAAGTTAGTAGGCATTCCAGCACAAAACATATGGAATTATGATGAAACAAATTTGGTTGATGATCCCGGATCAGCAAAAGTTATTACTAAGAGTGAGACCAAGTATCTTGAACAAATTCGAAATTCATTGAAAGCATGTACATCGCTAATGGTTTGTGGAAACGCAGCAGGTACCATAGCCCCATTTAATGTGAATTATAAAGCTGAAAAAATGTGGACTACCTGAACGGAAAATCGTCCACCTGGGCCACCTGGTGCAGAACAAAATCAGGATGGTTTGATGGTGAATCGTTTGAAGACTGGTTTATTAATCTGCTTCTGCCCAACTTAAATGACAGGATGGTACAAAAGTAATCATTGGCAATAACCTAAGTTCACATATTAATATTCAAGTCTTTTTTGAAGATTTGTAACAGTTTAACATTGCGACAATCCTATTTTTATACTGTTAAAAAATGAGAAAAAACTTTGTCCTAAAGTTACCCCTATTTAAAGGGTAACTTTAGAACAAGAAAAAGGTGGGAGTATTTTTAAACTCTTAACCTGCGAGTGAAAATATTGGAGAATTTAAAGAAAACATCATATTTACCTAACTAATACAATGCAAAATGGTTTGTAACAGTCATTTGAACAGAGGGGCGCAAAAAGTGCAAAACCATACCAAAGTAACCCCAGTCTATGGTACTAATTCAGTTTTCAGTTTTTTTGTATGCATCGTAGATGAATTTAAATCAAATTAATTAATAAAAACCATGTTAATTGACATTTATGTAATATAAATGGCATCACTATAAGCACCATTAAACACTAAGAATTAGTGTTTAATGGTGCTTAGGTCAAATTAAATAAAAATTTATTATTAAATATAAATTTTTATCATTTCTCATTACCACACAATTAACAGTATTAATTAAATGCAAGAACTTTTAATGAACAACTTTTAGAAAGGTAATGAAAATAGCTAAAATGGTTAAAAAAGGCTTTATTTATTTTGGGGATCAAAATTAATCTATTTTGTATTGTTTCTTATAGGAAAATTTGTTTTGGTTTTAGAACAACTTTTAAAAATGAATCATGTTCAAAAACAGAGTTTTGACTGTATTACTAACATTTAGAAAATTAAAAAAAAAAACTTATGCAACTCTATATCTAAAAAATATAATATACACTTGACAATAACAATGAATAATTGTTTACCCAATCAAAACATTAAATATTTCATTAAACAATTACATTTATTTTATATCTGATTCCTAATGCAGCTAATGCGTTTTCGTTTTGCTGTATTTTCTTCAATATCTTCTGTTTTCTTTTTAAAATGTTCTTTTCCGACTTAACTGTGTTGTGTGTTTTTTTGTTCATCTCCACTGTTGAAACGAATGATTTTGGCCAGAAATTCCTGGGATTTTGAACATATGAACCTATTTGTAAAAACAAAACACATTATATACAATCAACAAAATAATATACATAATACTGTACTATAAAAGATATATAATTTATAATGAGAAATTACTTATTGTAACAATGTCACAATGCTGGACTACAATTTTCAATCATATTTTATTTTAAAAGTTATTTGACTTCCAGTCCAGATTGGAAAGTTTGTATATAGTTAATCCCTAAGCTTTCATATCTGGTCAGTAACTCCATTCTTGAGATTAAGGAAGGATGAATAGACAGACAATTGACAGTGGAAATGGAAATCTATTGATCTGCAATTTGAAAACTGCAGGAAAAAAGAGAGAATATAATAGAATCTACCTATGTTGGAGGTTGTTATCAGTTATTTAATGTTATCAGAATTAGCATGTTCCAAAACATGTAAGTTAAAATACACTTATAAAACTTTGTCTATTATAATTAGAATTCAGCTGAAGTTAATACATAACCAAAAACCAAAAATCTAGCACATAATGCTACATAAGAAGTCATTTAGATATCTAGTAATATTTAATTTTTGAAAAAATGACTGAAGTGACCAGATCATCAAATGTAAAAAGCAGAACATAAGTCTGGGTGCTAGCAACGAGACATCAGATGAGTTATGTGCAGTGATGATATTCGAAATATTTAACAAAGGGTTCGCTAACAGAAAATTTTTCCTTAACAATTTTTTTTCGCTCAAATGGTGCATTAGCAATATTAGCGCAAAAAACTGACCTTAATTAATTAAGATACCCATATAAATAAAAAAGATGCGTTGGCAAAATTAAGTCAGTTAAAATTTAACATTGTTTATGCCAGAACTATATTGTTTTATAAATAATAAAAAAGAGTGTTCAAAATGGTTTATTTTGTACATATTTTAATATTTTTCATTCAAAGTATTTTATAAATATAAAAATTGCCTTTTTTTAATCAGAAAAAGACATAGGGAAAGCAGTTAAACAAGAAAAACTTTTTTAAATCATTAATTTTATCGTTAGGTATTATTATAATAATAGACAGATGTCATCGTCTCTCGAAATACGATATCTTTCTTATTTCGCTGTTGATAGCCCGACACGTGTTCCGCAGCCATCTTGTATTTTCTCGCGGGCGTGGGATTGTGGGATCTCTCTTATGACTGGATCTAGTTTCGAGAACTCTCTCGAGTAGATTGCGATTGAACCTTGTTTTAGTCGAGATTGAAACGGTCGATGGAGGTTGCACTAGGCGAACAGGGTATAAGGCTCTAGTTTAGTAGTGTTACAGAGTATAATACGTATATTTTAATATCTTTTTTAAAAGAAACAAAACCACTGAGAAATGTTACGTGTGTTTAACAACGGGTTCGGAAAACTTTGAAAATGTTAACAACGGGTTCGGCCGAACCTGTGCGAACCCGCTGAATATCACCACTGGTTATGTGACCAATTCTAGTCAATGATTGTCAATTTCCTAGCTTTCTAACATTATCAATGGCAGATATTATAACTAATGAACATTTTACTTATCCATATACAGTGGTACCTCAGGATACAAAATTAATCCGTTCCGAAACTGAGATTGTATCATGAAAATGTCGTAAGGTGAATCATTTTTCCCCATACGATTATATGTAAAACCAAATAATTCATTCCAATATGAAAAGCACACTCAAATTAAAGCTAAGTAGTACAGTGGAACCCCGGTTAACGAACTTAATCCGTTCCGCGACTCCGTTCGTTAACTGAATTGTTCGTTAACCGAAGCAATTTTTCCCATAGAAATTAATGCAAATGCAATTAATCCGTTCTAGTCTCCAAAATTTTTGTGATTTTATTTGTAATATACAGTAATTTTCTTTGATGAAAATGTAGGAAAACGTAGTATCTATCATTACAGCAACAAACATGTAAACTTTGTTTAATAAAATAGCACTGTACATACCTTCGTTTGTTGTAGTTGGTGGCAGAAAAGTGGAGATGTACGTACCTTAATGCTTAGAAGGGGAATCCCCTCCAAAAAATAACGGGTAGCACTTCATTGGTAGATTCTTCGAGTCGAAGTCTCTTTCGATAAAAAACCCACCAGTGGCTAAGTGGTCTTTGTACCTTGAACACGGGGAGTTCATTCGTGGGTTCGCACCTTGTTCAGACGAAATGGCCACGTGGAGTTTTCCGAGTTTTCTCCACGTCTGTATCGCCTAAATAGGGGCAAGTTTCCCTTAAAAACACCTCCCAGAAGGCATTCCCCCTAGGCGGATCGCCCAAGTGTTGCGTTGCCATAACTTAACAAACAAACTTTTTCTGTAAGGAACAAGAAATTGATCTAAAGTTGATTGTCTTACTCTTTTAATCAAAATTTTTCTCAAATGCGATAGTGCATTGTTGTTCATATTGCGTTGTTGTTTTTTGCCACTATGACTTTTTTCTTTCTTGGATGCCATATTGATTAAATATATAAATCACAAAACTGAAAAAAGAAGTACAGCACAAACACTCGGAAAAGCAATGCTTAACTTGCGCATGCCTAATACCAACTAAAATTTGACACAAAATACCGTTATGTTCGTTATCCGAGACAAAATTTTTGAAAAATAAAAGTTCGTTAACCAGGACGTTCGTTAACCGGGGTTCCACTGTACATTAAAAAAATAACTATAGTAAGGAAAACACTGAAAAATGCATTTTGTAGTTGCAAATGTATAAATAACCATAATAGAATAATAATTAATTAAAAAAATGTAGTTTTATTTGCACTTTACCTTTGAGGATAGACGGCGGTGGAGGTGTAAACTGGTGGCAGAAGAGAGAGAGAAGGGAAATGACACTAAAACTTAACTTACATAACAAAATGTAACAATAACTTAAAAATAACTTAGAAAAAATAAAAAATTAGTGTTGTTTTATATATATACTAGCTATTACCCGCGACTTCGCCAGCGGTGGTTTTGCAAACAAACCCCATTTATATTCAGTATTTCAACAATCATAGTAATTGTTATATAACACCTACCGCTGAAAATAATGAGAATTGCCGAAAATCAAACTAACTATTTTCAGTTTGATCAATCGATCTATAATCGAACCAATATGCAATAACAAATTCGAATTTAAAACGGTTCGAACATTTTTAAAATCGAAATAGATAAAAATATTTATAACAATATCTAAAATGTTATCAATTTAATACACCTAAGTACTCAATGAAGACTAAATGTAGTTGAAAACAAAAAATCGCATCTAAAATGGTACAGTAGAAGCCGTTTTTCCGGTTAAGCATTAATCCTCTCCCTCGCCCCCCCCGCGGGAGAATTTCGAAAAATCCCTTCTTAGTGTGCGTTTTCATGACGTACCCTAACTGTGTAGACTGCATCTAAAATAGCACAGTAGAAGCCGTTTTTCCGGTTAAGCATTAATCCTCCCCTCTCCCCCCGCGGGGGAATTTCGAAAAATCCCTTCTTAGTGTGCATTCCCATGGTCTACCCTACTAAAACTCAGATAAAAACAAAAAATCGCATCTAAAATGGTACAGTAGAAGACGTTCTTCCGGTTAAGTCTTAATGCTCTCCCTCTCCACTAACGCACACTAAGAAGGGATTTTTCGAAATTCCCCCGCGGGGGGGGAGGGGAGGATTAATGCTTAACCGGAAAAACGGCTTCTACTGTACCATTTTAGATGCGATTTTTTGTTTTCAACTACATTTAGTCTTCATTGAGTACTTAGGTGTATTAAATTGATAACATTTTAGATATTGTTATAAATATTTTTATCTATTTCGATTTTAAAAATGTTCGAACCGTTTTAAATTCGAATTTGTTATTGCATATTGGTTCGATTATAGAACGATTGTAAACGTTCCAGAAAATTGATCAAATTGAAAA